CCGGAAGCGCCCGAGTTGCCGCCTCCCGCCGTACCCCCTGCCCGGCCGGGGAGCTGGTGGTGAGTCGCGACCTGCGCCCGGCACCCGCCGCAGCCTCCCGCTCCCCGGTGTCTTCCCGCAGGGGCCGAAGGCAGGGGCTGGCAGTCCCGCGAGAGCCGCGCCAAGAGCGTAGGGCGGCTGGGAGAGGGAAAGGCGTAGGCCCGGGCTGGGGCGGAGGGGCCCTGGGGGAGCAGACGGACTTACCGGCGAGCGCGGCAGGGCTGGGGTTGGAGTGGGTGAAGAAGGAGCTAGGAGCCCTTCAGCGCTCCCTCGCTTACCACCCCTGGAGCCGTGCGTACGCGGGGCTGCTCCTGGGCCTGTGCCGGTGGTGGCAGCTCGGGGCCGCCTTAGGAAGTGGCTCGCTTCTGTGGGGAGCGCAGCCTTTTGGAGGCTGGCTAAAGGCTGTTCCTGGGTCGTTGTCTTATGAGGATCTCTTTAAGGGAGTGGAGCAGATCGCAAAGGGCCATGTGTGTGCTACGACTCGAGTGTAATGCTGAACACTTTCATTGGTGGTGTCCGGCTGCTGGGCAGCACCTGATTGCAGGGCTGCCTGCTCCCTGCACGTAGGGCATCAACTCAGTTTTTTTATCTGCTGAACTCTTTCTGGTTTGTATCTATGCAGGTGATTCCTACTGGGATTTTTCGTGTTTATTAGCTGGCCCAGTCAAATCTACCAATGCAAAAGGCCTCTTTTTTGTTATTTCTTTCTATTCTGCCTGTCATCCCTAATGATAAACAGCATGTACAATTTGTGTATTCTTGTTCTGGTATAGTTTGCTACAAGAGACAGCCTCCACCTAATTCTTGAATATCATGATATTTTTAAGTGGTGTTCTCAGAAGGGGCACACTGCATCTTACCCTGAAAGCAGTACCTCTGAGTTTTATCTCCTCTGCTTTCTGCTTTATAATCTAAATTGTCTGTTATCTACAAGTTTGCCACTTAAATTGTGTGCTGCCCAGTGATGAGTTTATCTGGTTCTTGACAAATCTACAGAAGGGATGACTAAAGCATTTACTTTACATTTATTTTAAAGCGCCTAACTTCTGCTGCATTTATTGTGTGCCTTTGTAGTGTTCAGGACAATCTCTGCTTCCCAGATCTTAAACCATCTGTTAAATTCCTTTTCTCAGGTTGCGTGATCTGCTGGTTACAGCAATGAGATATAAGAATCAGGACCGCTATTTCTATGTTCTAACTTCTCTTCCCTCCAGCTTGCTGGCTGATGCTGGTCAAGTCACTTTACAGTTAAGTCTTAGTCTCTCTTTCTGTAAAACACAGGTACATACTTTCCTCATTATTATCTACTCTGTGGCTCCCAACTTGTGATGCAAATTATCTACTCTGCAAATATCTCTCCTGTCCTGCTTACACAAAGTGTGGATAAAGGAGGTACAGTACTATTTTCCAGTAGCCTCGTCAACCTTATTAAATGCTTTAATTTTTTATTTTCCTTCCTTGTTTCTAGCTTTGTAGCAATTGCTGAGAATGCGTGCTCTGTGGGATGCCCATAGTGATTTGCTGCACCTTTCCTAGCTGTTCCTGCCCTCTGCACTCTCATGTTGTATCTTTTGTTTTGCAGGATTTGTTCTTCTCCCTTTCGATGGAGAGTGACTGTATAGATCAACAATGAGGACCAGCCCTCGCAGGCCCTTAATTCTCAAAAGACGGAAACTGACCCTCCCACAGAAGGATGCATCCAGTACTTCAGCAAGAGATGAGAACAGCGGCTGGGATGAAAAGACTCCTAAGCAGGAGCACAGCCAGGAGGACCAACACAACAGCCAACCCAGAGACAAAATGGACTGTGGCCTGCAGAAATTCCCATTTTTTTTAGATAATTGACCATCCTACCATGTCCAACACACAAGTGGTGGCCATCCCTACAAATGCTGATATCCAGAGCATCATAGAGGCACTGACAGCAAAAGGAAAAGAATGTGGCAACAATGGGCCCAACAAGTTCATTCTCATTAGCAGTGGGGGCACGTCCC